ATTTTCATACGAATAGTTTTGCACAAAGACTCGTTTTGCCACAGAGGCAAAAATCAACTATTCATCCATGAGCTGGCTCAGGGAGCCTTTGATTTGTCTTTAATATCGAAGATGTTATCTCCAATTGTAAGTGATGGAGACATGGTTGATGTATCTGGGCTGATTTCTTTTAAATGTGAAGGTACAGAATGACGGAGGCCCGCCCATTGCATAAAATTGCTTTTGTCAATTTTGTTCGAAAAATAATTATAGGGGTCTATTGTATTTAAGTAAAATAGAATATCGTGTATGTAAGTGATTCCCCGCGACTTGAAATAACTTTTATAGTACACCGGCTTATTATCCATTCGAATCTCTTCATTGTTCCAAATATTATTTTTCAATCACTTTCTGAAGCGAAAGATTCGCGTAAGTCCGACAACCATAACAAAAGTTCGTGGTAAAATTGAGAAGATATCGTATAATCAGAAACTTCATAATGACAGTTTAGAAAGTACAAACCGCCTACGGGCTCTATCAGATGAAGTAAATACGTCTTCCATGTTGCATTTGAATCGTTAAATAGTTGTTTTAGCCAGGCCAACATTAAAGATTTTACAATGCTTTCCAAATCTATCATTTTTAGACCGCCTTTCTCATAATCGTGTATTACTGACACGCGAGTTACTTTGTCTGCACCTTTCCATAAGAACTTTAATAACAATTGATTCAGTTTATTCACAATTGCTTTTGGTGTAGGAAGTAACGAACATTGGAATCAAAAAAGATTTAATCATCGTCACTTTACCATAATAGACAGGCCTCTAGAGGACCAAATATTAATGCGTTTTTTAATACTATCTAACCTTTCAATAAAGTTCTCTTCCTTTAATAGTTTCTGATCGTATGTGAAATATACACCCAGAGCTTTAATCGGGATTTTAGGCCACTTAATACCAAAATGTTGCTCTTTACTTTCTTTTAATGATCCTATCCACATACCTTAGTTTTTGAGCAATTGATCTTGAAACCGGGAAAGTTTCGAAACCGGTCCAGTAGTTCAACTAATACTTTGGCTGAGTTAGTATCTGCTAATATCGCCGTGGTGCCGTCAGCATACTGTAAAAGTTTCGTTTCTTGCTCTTCTCCGATATAGATTCCTTTAATGTCCGAATTCTGTCTAATGGCGCCGGATAGTCAAGTTTCTACAGCTGTTACGAACAGATATGGAGACAGCGGGTCTCCCTGCCGAAATCCTCGTTCCGGTGTAAAGAAATTTGTAAGTCATAACGTTGTTTAAGATACAGCTTTGTATATTTTATAGAAGACTTTAACCCAGTAAAGGAAATCTGGACCAAAATTGAATGCCTCAAGACATTTAAAAAGACATTCTCATTCGACACTATCGAATGCCTTTTGAAAATCAATGAATAATATTAAACTGGGAATGTTTTCTTTCTCAGTAAAGTCCATGACATCGTAAATAGATCGTATAGTTTCGCCTATAGAACGGTCTTTTACATATCCTGTCTGATTAGGATGAATAATGGCTGGCAAGACATTTTCATCCTCGATGCAATTGCTTTCGTCATTATTTTTGTATCTACATTAACGAGGTAGATTGGACACCAATTTTCTAAAAGTGAACGATCTTCCCCTTTCTTTTTAATTAGTGTGATGATTGCTTGTGTTTGAGAACTAGACATGTCACCTTTCTCGAAACATTCATTAATGTAGTTCATGAAGCTATCGCTAATTACTGACCAAAATGTCTTATAGGATTCAATAGGAATGCCGTCATTACCAGGAGTTTTATCATTTTTAAAGCTATCAAGGAGACGAAAACATTCTTCTGCTGAAATTTTGCTTTCAAAAAATTTTTTCTGGTCTTCAGAAAGTGTGGGTATATTTAAATCGTTTAAGAAAGAAGAAATTTTAAGTTTAACATCTGGATCAGTAGTACTGCTTTTGTACAGGTTTTTGTAGAACCGTTCTTGCTCCTTTAATGTACAAAATGGATCCTTCTTACTGAATTACTCCGCTTATATGAAGTTTTCGTATATGCTTTTTTATATGATTTCTTCTCGAGGTTTAAAAACTGTTCTGTGATCCTTTCCCCATGTTTATGCCAGCGAACGCGTGCGCGTATAATTATTCCTTTAGCTTTTTCTTCATAAAATATTTCTAACTTTTCCTGAGCCGCATTAAAGCGAGTTCCGTTAGAGTCACTGCATGTAGTTTTTTATTTTTGCGTTGCCTTTCTAAGCCTATTTTGGAGATTTAATTCTGTTTCATTTCTTTCCTTGCAATTTTCTTTGAGTAGTTGATAACTTGCACCCATATATTATATTTGATCCAATCCTAAACGTTACGACTGTCCGAAAGTTCTTTGCGTCCCTATGCTGTCCATACTGGAAGCATTTCAGTACCATTATTTACATATTCTTCATCCTTTAACATGGAACAGTTCATTCTTCAATAGCCGGGACCTTTCTGCTCATTTTCTGGCTCTTCAATCTCTATCGAAATTGCATCATGGTCTGTTCGAATGGCTGGTATTATATCACCTGATTTCGCTAAATCATTCCAAAGGCACACTCCATCACCATTCGTGGCTGGCAAAGGGTCAATCCAAAATACTGTTCTTGGACTGTAGATCCCCCATTTGAGTACTCCTTCATAAGATAGGGCATAAGGGGGTATGCTGGGTCTCCGAGGAGAAATACTCCAACAGATCGTCGTCAGGTAGGATGTGTCGACTGCGGGGTGGTATTTTTCCACTTTTTAGGAATTCGTTCAGCTTTGAGTTACAGAATACTCTGGAATCGTGCAGACTTCCAGGCCACTTAATGACCGCATCCATAAAACAATATTTATAATCACAAGTGGCCTGAACAATGAAAGTATACCGTCCTTTTCTGTTAAGATAATCTGTAGAATTCAATCTAGGCTGTTTAATTTCAATGTGAGTTCCATCGATTGCTCCAAGGCAGTGAGGAAAGCCATGTGATCGATTGAAATTCCTTACGTGATCCTTAACCTTTTCTTCTGTGAAAGGCAGCTTAATGTATCTGGATCCTAGGTGTAAGGTGATAGCTTTGTATACTTTCCGAATTATTTTAGACACAACTTGGCGTGACAGCCCAAAAGCGTTTGCCGTTTTTCGAAAGCGACCCTCGTCACTTAAGAGGCCCTGCGCCTAAGAAACGACCGATGATTTCCGGCTAAAAAATAAAATCGGCTGATTTTTA